TAAACCCCCTACTACTTATAGTCGGAGGTGCTACTCGCTACAGTATAATGACTCCTAGGAGTACAATTGTGCTCCTAGGAGAACAATGGTTACTCCATGGGGTGGTGGCTATGCTCCATGGAGAACAATGGCTGCTTCAGCAGAGACCGGGTTTATCCGGTTTTGTCACTCCCACTCGAGTGCAACCGTAGTCCCATAGCTTTAGAGAATTTCCAGTGTTTTTCGTGAGTGAGGGGTTTAGTGAGAATGTTGGAAACCATATCTCCTGTAGGAACATATCTGATTACTGCCTCTCCCTTTGATACTAAGTCATCTCGGATAAAATGATATTTCCGTTGAATGTGTTTTGTGCAAGCACAGAACTGTGGATCTCGTGTAAAAATAATGGCTGCTTGATTGTCACAGTGCAATGTTGTAGGTCCATTTTGAGCATGTCCAATTTCTTCAAAAAATGTCCAAAGCCATGCAAGATGTTGTCTAGCATTGCTCAATCCAATGTATTCTGACTCCGTGGAGGATAAAGCTACCATGCTTTGTTTTTTGCTTGTCCAGGAGATTGCTCCTCGGATGGTGATAAAAACAAAGCCTGATGTTGATCGAGACGTGTCTGGGTCTCCAGACCAATCTGCATCTGAATATCCATAGAAATCCATGTCCATGGAAACATCTGTGCCATCATATCGTAGCTCCATGTTTTTGGTTGCTTTCAGATATCGGAGGACACATTTTGCAGCTTCCCAGTGATGGCTCCTTGGAGCTGAGCTATGTCTGCTTAGTATTCCAACAACATAGGCAATGTCTGGGCAGGTTCTGAGCATGGCATACATGAGGGAGCCTACAATTGAGAGGTATGATACTTGGCGCCCTTCAATATGCATCTCGTGTTGCACAATATCTTCCCCTGGAGCATTTGCAAGGAGTTTTGATCCATGGGCCATTGGTGTCCATACAGGTTTGCAGTTCTTCATTCCAGTACGCTCCAGGACTGTGTCAATGTATTGGCGTTGCAATAGGGATATTGTTTTGTTTGAACGATCACGTTGGATTTCTATTCCGAGGATGCATTTTGCTTCTCCAAGGTCCCGCATTTTGAATATAGATTCAAGTTTGGCTTTTGTGATATCCATGAATTTTTGGGATGAAGCTCCTAGGAGAAAATCATCTACATAGACAACAACAAAGCATATTTGTTTGTTGTCCCGGAATACATAGAGACATGTTTCTGCATTTAGTCTTGTGAAACCGAGCTCCTGGAGCTTGCGATCAAAAGTTTTGTTCCATATACAACCAGCTTGTTTTAACCCGTAGATGGATTTCTTCAATCTCTAGCAGTATCCAGGTTGGATAGGAACACCCCCTGGAGGAAGCATGTATAGTTCTTCTTCAAGTTCTCCATTGAGATAAGCTGTGGATATGTCCATTTGATCAAGTTCTAGGTTGTACTTTGCTGCCAGGGCTAGAATAATTTGGATCGACTCTAAGTTTGCAACCAGAGCAAAAACCTCCTGGTGATCAATCCCCTCCCTTTGAGTAAAACCCTGTGCAAAAATCTGGAGTTTGTATCTCTCAATGTTTCCGTTTTGATCAAACTTGATCCGGAACACAGGTTTTGATGTGATGGGTTTCACTCCCTTCGGAAATAGAACAGTGTCATATACTGCATTAGTATTGAGACTTAGGAGTTTCTCCTCCAAGGCAGACTTCCATAATTCTCCATCCGGACGTGATAAGGCTTCCTTTAGTGTCCTTGGAAGGTCTGTGTTAGATGGACCGGTACTTGCTATTCCAGCAAAGAATGTCTCCTCTGTATCAGATGTTTCTTCATGAACCTCAGGAGTGTTAGGTTTCTCCATGGAGTTGTCATGCTGCTCTTTTCGAGACTGTTCCTCATCTAGAGTCCTTTGATAATCTCAGTTTTTGTCTGCAGGACAGGTCTGGCGACTGCTTCTGCATACTCCTAGGACTTCAGCAGGCATGACTGCTCTTTTAGGAGCTTATGCAGGTACTCCAGGGAGTAAACACATTTGTGTGTGTGTTGCCCCACTCACTCCTGAAGGTGTTGAATCACTCCTCGGAGGTGTTGTATGCCTTCCAGAAGCTGATCCAATGGAAAGGCTGTCTAGCTGTATTCGGACTTTTTCCACATCAGCTGGCTGTATGTTGAGGGGCTGTCCTCCCACTGACTGTAACTCTACTTTGGCTTTCCGTTCTGAAGATGGCCAGTGTTCAGGTCTTGGTTGTAGAGACTGTTGTGGAGGGTGTCTTAGCTGATCAGGTGCTCCCACTGCTCTCGGAACATCTTCATGCTGATATGGTTCCATTTGCAATTCATTTGGATCTCGGATCCGAGGGTCAGGATCATCCTCCTCCAATGTATTTTGGTCTGGATAGTGAGCATTCTCTGGAATGAGTCCCTCCCACTGATCTGTGCTAGTGTCTGTGTTCCAGGGAGCAGTGTCGTCCTTTTGTACCTTTCCGGATTCATTGAATATGACATGCCGGCTGGAAAACACATTCCGTTTTTCAGTGTCTAGGAGTTTGTAGGCTTGCTTTCCGTGTGTGTAGCCAATCATTATGGCTTTGCGCCCCTTGAAGTAAAACTTCCCTTGCCTTTTGTCTTTCAGAATCAAGGCATATGCTTGGCATCCAAAAGGGCGAAACAAAGTTGGATCAACTCTCCTTTTAAACAGTATTTCATATGGGGTCTTTCCATGGAGTCCTGATGCTGGGCTGCGTGCTGTGATATATGCAGCTGTTTGCATGGCATCTACCCAAGATGACTTTGGGAGCTTGGCATCATGGAGCATAGTGGTTGCTAATGTAGCCAATGTCTGATTCATGCGTTCTGCAATGCCATTTTGTTCCGGAGTATCTGCAGCTGTAGTTTCTTGGATGACACCATCTTCTCGGAGTTGATTTTTGAATGCATTGCCAGTATATTCTCCTCCCCCATCGCTCCAGAGGAATTCTGTGTATAGTGGAGTGAAGTTTTCTTCTCCCAAATGAGTCCAGAAGAATGTTTGGACATCTTCTTTCCATTGCTTGTATCGTTCCAGTGCTTCACTTTTATGTTTTAGGAAATATATCCATGGAAATTTGGAGAAATCATCTACAATGATAATCCAGTACCGAAAACCCTCCCTGGAAGTTGGTTTGATTGGTCCTCCAACATCTCTGTGCACAATTTGTATGGGGTGCTTGGCTCGGTTTCCTCCAGTGGACTTGAAAGGTAATTTCTTCATCTTTCCTAAAGCACAAGGTTCACAAAACTCCGGGGTTCCGGTAAGGGTGTCTATGTCCTGGAGCTGTCTTTTTGTAACCATTTGTTGCAAGCGGTCCATTCCAATGTGTCCCATTCTCCTGTGCAATAAATTTACATCTACTGCTGCAAAAGCTGACTCTGGGTTGATTTCGGGTTTTGCTTGGATTGGATAAAGTCCTCGCTTGTGTAACGCAGTGAGGATAAGTTCCTCCTTTTTCCGAACTTCACAAGCATTTGACCCTGCTGGAAAAAGTGTTGATAACCCCGTTTTGGACAATTTGTGGACAGAGACGAGTGCTAACGTGAAGTTTGGCACAAGTAAGACATTTGACAGTGCAATATTGTAGTCCTTTTTGCCAACAGTTGCTTGTAGGATTACTGTTCCAATGCCAATGGCATTTACAGCGGATTCATCCCCAAAACTGATTGTCCTCGGAGGATGCAGAACATGGTATGTTCCTGGCTCAAACCAGGAGCGGTGAGGGACCATGTGGGATGTTGCTCCGGAGTCGATAATAATTGTTGTTTTGGTCTTATCGGGTTCCGACACAAGGTAAGCTTGAATGCGTTTAGCAAGTGGCTTGGAAATATGTACATGTTCCAATGCTATATGACTCTGTTCCTCCTCGGAGTCAGATCCAGATGATTGCTCCGCTGTATTTGCCTTTTCCTTCTCTTTTCTTTTATCCTTGTGTCTTTCCTTTCCCTTTTTCCTTTGACCTTTTCCAGCTGACTGAAGTGTTCGACACTCCGAGGTGTTGTGTGATTTGACTTTGTGGAAGTCACACCACTTCTCCTCGGATTTGAGTGCTGATTCAGAACCTCCAGGGGCTTTTCCTGACTGTCATGCAACTTCTGCAGTGATCCGGATCTCAACTGCATCAAAGGTAAGTTTATTTTCTTCAATTGTGTTGATTACCGATGACTGAAATATTTGCCATTCAGCAGTGCATGGGAGAGATTGGAGAAGAGCGAAGGCCATGAGTTTGGTATCAACTCCTAGTTTCATTTCGGAGAGGTGTGAATCAATTGTCCAGATTTTCGCAATGTGGTCCTGGATAGGTGATGTCCCATCCCAGGACAATTTTGTGAGTTGCTGGAATGAATAGAAGGCCGAGGCAATGTTGGACGTTTGATAGAGTGAGACAAGTTTATCAAATAACTCCTTGGAGCTGGTGAGGTCTCCAGTCCTCATTAGGAGGGCATCAGAGATGTGGTCCTAGATGATTCAATGTGCTTTCTCATCCTTAAGTATCCAGGTGATTTCAGGATCCTCCGAGGAGGTAGGTTTTCCTGGTGAGGGCTTAAGCTCCTCTCCGGTAACAACCCAGAGAACTTTTTCCCGACGTAGCTTTGAGATGATCCAGAGTTTCCATATCTGAAAATTGTTGGGTCCAGTGAGAACTGGACATGTGGATGTATCGTGTGCTGTGGTCATGGTTCCGAGGTTTCCGTTTCAAATAAGAGTTATTTCCTGCGTAGCTTTTGCGCACCAGGGCTCATAACCTAATAAAATTATGTGAAACTCAGCCGCTGCCCAAGAGGCTATAGAAACGACTGAGGTATTTCTATACTAAACCCCCTACTACTTATAGTCGGAGGTGCTACTCGCTACAGTATAATGACTCCTAGGAGTACAATTGTGCTCCTAGGAGAACAATGGTTACTCCATGGAGTGGTGGCTATGCTCCATGGAGAACAATGGCTGCTTTGGCAGAGACCGGGTTTATCCGGTTTTGTCATGACGTACCTTACAATTGAAATTAAGACACCTAAGATACATGTAAATTTCCTAACCATGGGCTAGCCGAGTGGGCTGGGTAAGGGCCTAAGGAAATAGGAGGAGCTGCGATACGTGCTTCATATTATTGTCACAGAGACCTTACTTACTGCAAGTCAGAATGCCTATTTGAATTTCAGACCGGGCGCCTAAACCTGTCGTGTGTCGTGCTAAGAAAATATAATCAATTTATAAGATAGAATATATTTACATATCTTCCATCTTCCAGTGTTCGAATGCTTTTTTTCCCTCGTGTCTAAGAGGTTTTAGGCAAGACGAAGTGTATATCTAGGGATTTAGATGTAAGACGTCCTTCACCTTCTTCCACTGATGACCCTCCCAAAGGGAATTGGAGCTCCCAGCAGGCTGCTTGCCTTCCCGACCCGTCAAAGGATCCCAGCCCGTACTGGCAGCACCCAAATCGACCTTCTTCTGAAGATATTCCCTCACTCTTGCAGCCGAGACTTCGTGGGGAATGAAATCCACATACTTGACGGGTGCTATGTGAGCGTAGAGCTTGGCAATGTCGGACAGGGTGCCCCTGTGGCCTTGGATCCGAAAGGTGGCATCATGGAGCTTGGAAGGTGGGAGAGTCGTCAGAATGTGTGCGACGAAACCTGTATAGGAGACATGAGAAGTAGAGAATTGGAATTGGAAACTACTCACCTGCGGCATCCTCCCTTGCGGTGAACGAGAAGGGAGTGCGTCCTTTTCCGGCAATCAAGAATTTACCCGTCTCTCGAACAGCAGCCAGCCAAGGGATGTACTCATAAAATACACCGGTCTGCGACGAAGCATTGAGTGAATGTTTCAGCTATGACTGTAAAATTACTCACATAAACTCGAGCTGATGGGAGCTCAATAGACCGTAGATATACTTTATCGTACGTATGACCGATGAATTTTAGTATACGAAATTCATGAGGAAGGACGAGATACTCACGAGCAAAATGCGATTTGAGTCCTAAAATCCCATCACTTCCTTCCGTTGGCATACCATATTCTGAAGGCATGAAGAGTTTAACGCCAGCAGCTTTAGCAGCATCTGCTAGAGGTCTCTGAGCCGATATGCCATCAAAAGGGACGGCAGAAACGACTACATCTACGTTGTATTTTTGCAATACCAAGGTAACGACCTGCACATCCGAATAATCGACTGGCACAACGTGAGCCCCCTCTGGCAATTCTCTTGAAGATCCTGTGCGTGTGAGGACGACGACTGCAGCCTTGCGGGCGAGCAGGGCGCGTACGATGGGGATGCCGATGGTGGGTCCTGCCCCTACGACAGCAAAGGAGTGGTAGTTTGCTGTGGACATCGTTGACGCTGTCGATAAGGATTTGACTCTGGATGCATAGGTATGAGTTAAATCTTTTCGCTACATAGCCTGGAATCTACGCGCCATCTCTTGTTCCACTAATAATCTTTACCGACTTGCTCGGATCCTCGTCGGCCCGAACACAGCGTTTCATGTCTAACAAAAACTCACTGCTTGTGGGGCTGGCGTCGATGGGCGATGATGGTATGTGCGTGGAATGACGACTAGAAGTCTTACACGCTGCAGACCCATCAATGAGGAGACTCGACAAGACGACAAGAGCACAACAACAGGCTCATTAATATCACGCGGTTCTCGTTCAAATCGCGCGATGATCGTCATACAATGAATTTGAAAGAATATTCAAATAAGATCGCATTGCGGATATTCCCTACGTGCGAGAACCTCGTAGGAAATGAGACTCATCGGCAATGTGATGGATGGTACAATGGAGACATCTGAATAGTAGTTGCCAAGTAGTAAGTACTACGGCTGGACACCGGATCAACCGGTAGTAGATATGCTCTTGGGCTCAACTACTGATGTACTGACAAATTATGACATTTGTTTATAGTATGAGAAAACATGCATTGGCCAGGGCTTGAACCTGGGACTCCAGCCTTCATGGTCTGGTGCTTTACCAACTAAGCTACCAAGGCATACTTGGAAAGCATACTGATTGGTTGCATGCCCAGAAGGTCCAGAATCACTGTACACGGGTGCGGATCCCATTGTGTTGTGATATGTACAGGTATCTAGAAATTTGTCAAAAATAGAATAGAGTATAATAAATATGATGGTGAAAGAATTTTATGGATAGCTCACCTGTGGCGACAATGGCAGACCTGACACTAAGGCTTCCACCTCCAAAAGTGCGAATTTCGAGGGAAAGATGAATAGATTTGGCCAGATCCTGTGTTGCGAATATGGTGGCTTTGTCTTAGAAAACGTCAATGGGGAATCCCCTACAATGCCACATACTTACCAAGCTGGTTGGGGCCTCGAGACGTCTGGAGAAATGAAAACAGTGATGGAGGCGTGATTAGACAACCAAAACAGGAAATCACGCACTGAGATAGTGAGTCAAAGCCCGCCAGCTCCGATACGGTACATCCCGCAAACATCAATCACTGACTCATGATGAAGTGTTTAGGACTTACTAAGTATTGACTGATCAACAGACTGCTTTCCCTTATCTCCAACTGATCCTCATATCCCATGCCTCCCATACAGACTAGAAGACATCACCGTCATGCTTCGACATCTCAACAGCCTCCCACCAGTGATGTTGTGGACCTCAAGGAACAAATACAAGCCGCATGCAAAGCTACCAGTACCGGTGTGGCGAAAAACCTCAAGGCAGCATGTCGTGACTTAGGGATCTTGAGACACTACTATATGGCACTCAGGAGGTATAATGGGAAAGCTTTGCCTAGTCATGAGGCTCCTATGCTCCATGGAGAACAATGGCTGCTTCGGCAGAGACTGGGTTTATCTGGTTTTGTCAGTCGCCCCCTACGTCTACAACTTGTGCGGCAAGTATCCGTCTGAAAAATGGATCCGACGCTTCCTCAAGAGGAATGAGGCCCAAATTGCAGCAAGATGGTCGTCAACACTCGATCCAATGCGGGCTCAAGCATTCAACTTTCCTGTGGTTCAGGATTTTTTCAGGCAGTTTGAGGCGGTGATTGAGGAGCACGATATACCTTGGGAGAATGTATACAACATGGACGAGAAAGGGATACAGCTCGGAGGTGGTCGAAAATCCAATGGCCGCCTTTTTTTCTTCTGTCGCTACGACCGCCAAAATTATCGGATTCACGGGGGTAACTTAGAATTAGTTACGGTCATAGAGTGTGTTTCTGCCATTGGTGGCAACATACTACCGGGTTTTATTTTTGCAGGCGCAATTATCGACGCAGAGTCTTACAAAGTTCACCCCCTAATATTGTAAGTTTTTTTCAAATTTTGGTTTGATTCTCATGTTAATTATTCAAAGTCTAACTACATCAGAAAATGGATGGACTGACGACTTTCTGTGCGCCAAATGGTTTCAAAAAACCTTTATTCCTCAGACTCGCGCTCTGAACAAGACAGGCAAACCTATCCTCCTTATCTACGACAGCCACGGTTCTCATTTGACCACGGATATGATTACACTTGCTGTAGAGAATAATATCCAGCTTCTTTGTCTCCCCCCACATACTACTCACCGCCTACAGTCTCTCGATGTTGGCGTTTTTGGCCCCCTGCAAAAGGCCTGGTACCAACAATGCAAAAAATATGTATCAAAATTTAACTCATCTATTCTTCAGCAGCATGTTGTCAAGGAATATTGGGAGGCACGTAAAAGTGCATCCACCACTAACACTGTTCTTCAGGCATGGTGCAAGAGTGGCCTCTGCCCATTCAACCCCAACATCTTCTCAGCCGTCGACTATGCACGAAGTGTCTCAACTTCAACCGTTAATTATGCCCCTGCGTCTTACCCGGACACATTTCCAAAGGGTTGGGTAGATGGCCCGTCATTTGATGACCCAGAATTTATCCCCGATGATGAAGAGCAATTGTGTGAGCCAACAATTGTTGGCCACATCGACTGTCACGAGCACGACTCAGACAGCAGCTCTGAGGGGATGGGGAACGTCAATGATGGGTCAGAAACCAGCTCAGGTGAACTGGATGACAACGGCGATGGCAGCAGCAACAACAACAACAACAGCAATAGCAACAACAGCAACAACAACAACAGCAACAGCAACAGCAATGGCACAGAGCCGTCTTCTAGGGGCGTAAGGGCCTGGCTTCAAGTAAGCCAGGATGCTCTACCCCTAGAAGACATGACAGAGCTGTCTATATCGCATTGCACCCGCTCATCCTGATCCCATTCCAGCAGGAACACAGCCCAGTCTCCCTCTCCTGCAAACTCCTGGTCTGCCACCCTTGCCGCCATGTTGATACCGCTGCAGCCAACATCACTGCTGATGCTGATGTCGAAGAAGTCACTTATAGAAAAGATTCATAAGCTGTCAGTGCAGCTTGGAGAGGCACGGTGGGAACGGGATACAATGCATGTAACTCTTGGTTGTTACATTAGGACTCGCTCTTTCTACTCTCTCGCACGTTTGTGCACAAAGTCCCACTGGGCACCCGGACTCCAGGGTGAAGGAGATTTGGTTATTGGTTGGGAATATCCCGCATAGCAGATAGGTGCGCTCTTCGCGACGGCCTTGTAGTGCTTTGGGAGAAGAACCAAAACCTTTGATATGCGGCCCCCAGCGTTAAGGGGAGTACCATAGCTCAGCAGTTGGTGTGGAACCTCTGTTGATTAGATTTTAGAATACAAAAACTTCTTCTTTGAATACCTCTGACCAGGCCGGGCACTTGCCTCCGCCAGTTGGACAAGGGTTGACAGCTTAAGAAGTGGACCACCCCCTGACAACCGTTCGGACCAGGGTTTATTATGAATACCTTTTATATAAATTTCAAATACTATAGTGTGGGTAGTCAGAGATTGAGATCCGATACTCAGCTGGGAAGAGGTTGATCCGCAGATAGCAAGCGGGGACCCCCAGTTATCTTTTTTTTACTTTACAAAGAGAACAAGTCGACATGTCGTTGCAACAAGATATGAACGGTCTGCTGCATGCCATGCATGCACAGATTGCAACATTAACTTCGCAACTCGCCGAGCTGCAGACAAACCCCCCTGCGGCAACCCCCTCGGTTGAGAAGAAATTCAATAAGAAAGTCGAAGTCGTTGCTGACCCTGGCGCCTTCGAAGGAGACAGAGCGTGGTTCACTGAGTGGTGGATCAAGCTCCAAATTTGGGTTAAGGCAAACTGGGACGCGTTTGCCGACGATTTTGAGGTAGCCACTGCAGTGCTATCTCGACTAAAAGGACCTGTGGTGGGTTGATACGCCCAAGTTAGACTGCAGGAATGCTACACCGCGGAAGTGTGGCCAACCTGGGACGATCTCAAGAAAGAGATCAAAAAATATTTTAAACCACAGGCCGAACGTGACTGGGCACGTCAGCAAATCCATTCTTTCAAACAAGGAAACATGAGGATGGATGATTACGTCACCAGGTTCCTGGCCCTTTCCATCCAAGGAGGGCTTGAAAATGAACATGCAGTGGAACTGCTAGAATACAATGTGAACCCTCGCATTGCAGAACAGATCTATCTGCAGGATACTAGAAACGAGAACTTGGCCCTGGCAGCTGAGGAAGTACGATGAATTGGTAGAGCCATGGAGCTTTACCAAATGCACCAAGGTGGTGGGTCCACCACCAAAAACAACGAATCCCAGAGGCGCCCTGGGTCATCAAACCATCAAAAATATTCTCACGGGTTCAAGCCATTCGGGCTGCAACCAGGGCAGGGAGGCCCATAGATATTGGTGCGGTCCAAGAGGGACAGATGCGCAGATTCAAGGGGAACTGCTACAATTGCGGCCAAGAGGGACACATGTCCCGAGACTGCAGAAAAGGAGCACAGGCCACTCAACAAAAAAATAATCAAGGGCGCCAGGCGTGCCAATTAGAGTCCAAGAAACCGGACGATCGGCTCCAGACTCTGGCTGGTTGTTCGTACAACAAAATCCGGGCCTTCTTTTACGATCAGCAAACTGCTGAAATGAAGGTCCAGGGAAAAGAGTTCGGAGCTTAGGTCACTTGGGTGCCTTCGCTCCTACGAACAATGAAGTAAACCACAACAAAGTGGCCCCTGCTCCAGGGTGTTGCACGAGCAATAAAGGAAAGACGGGGATGGCTCCCCAATTTGTAAATAGATTTTTTAAATTTGTTATCTGAAGTATGTACCTGTATGAAGCAATGTGACTGTAAAATAAATGATACTACCGCTGCACCAGTGTCTCCCTTGGAGCGTGGCCCCGGCGAGACAAACAATAGGGTGCTTAATTCTGGTAAAAATAAAATAGAAAAACATGTAACTTCTGATACCTTTTCTTCTTTGTTGGAGCCACCCTTTCCCAACATCCCAAGGCGTGTGTTGATGCGCACATATTTATTCCAAAAAAAGATCCGTCTAGACGTTAGTGTGGAAAACCTTGCCCGGGGCATAGTACACCCAACCAGTGCACTGCTTGATTCAGGCGCTAAAGGGATCTTCATAGACCAGGTCTGGGAGGAGCAAATTGGACTCCCCCTTGTAAAATTAGATGTATCTATTCCCATCTATAACGTTGACAGTACGCTTAACGCGGGTGGCTGCATCACGCACAAATGTTCTTTTGTGGTCGAATACCAAGGACACAGAGAACAAGTCACCGCCAAGGCTACCCAACTAGGGAAGATTAATTTAATCCTAGGCTGGACCTGGCTATTTAAACACAATCCTGAGATCGACTGGCAGACAGGGGTTGTCACATTGTCACGTTGCCCTCAGGAGTGTGTAAACTTGGGTAAACCAAATCATGTCCGTCACAATGAGCGTATTGAAAAGATAAACGCTGGTCATGTTTATGGGCTCAGATCTTTAGAAAAGATCGACGATGACGATGATGAGGTAACACCCGAGGAAGAGTTTAAGAGGCTGGTACCTCCCGAGTACCATGACTTCTGGAAAGTCTGTTCAAAACATAAATCAGAGCGCTTCCCAGAGGCTAAGCCTTGGGACCATGCTATAGATTTGAAGGACACCTTCAAACCAAGAAAAGGACACATTATACCACTCTCTGCTCCAGAAAGAGATGAGGTATCAAGTTTTATAGATGAACAGCTTAGGAAAGGTTACATCAGACCTTCCAAAAGCCCTATGACATCCCCGGTGTTCTTCATTCCTAAAAAGGATGGTAAAAAGTGTATGATTATGGACTATCATTACGTGAATGAGCACACGGTTCAAAACGCGTATCCACTGCCTTTGATCAGTCAGCTAGTAGACAAATTGGCTGGTGCCAAGATCTTGACAAAGATGGATCTCAGATGGGGGTACAATAATGTACGAAACAAAGAAACAGATGCTTGGAAGGCCGCGTTCACGTGCCACCAAGGATCCTTTGAGCCCCTCGTCATGTTCTTTGGGTTGACCAATTCACCGGCAACCTTCCAGAGCATGATGAACGAGATCTTTGCGGATATGGAGAACTGTGTCATTATTTACATTGACAATTTATTAATATTTACGAAGTCGGACGATGAGGCTGAGCATGACAGGATCGTGCAAGAAGTCCTTTGACGCTTACAGGAACGGGACCTATTCGTCAAACCCAAAAAATGTAATTTTAAAGTGAAGGAAGTAGACTTCCTCGGTATGATCATAGGCCAGAACGGAATCAGGATGGATCCTGAGAAAGTTCAAGCTATCTTGGATTGGCCAGAACCTACTCACGTCAAAGGAGTTAGGGCCTTCCTTGGCTTAGGCAATTTCTACCAAAGGTTTATCGAAAACTTCGCAAAAATCACGAGACCGTTGAACGATCTCACTAAAAAGGACATTGTTTGGCACTGGGGTGCCAAAGAACAAGAATCTTTTGCTAAGCTTAAACAGGCGTTTACAACGGCACCCATATTAGCATTTCCAGAACTAGACAAAGAGTTCCGGCTAGAAACCGACTCTTCTGATTTTGCTACTGGGGCTGTTCTGTCAATTAAATGCCCTGACAATCTTTGGAGGCCTTGTGCCTATTTATCACATAGTTTGTCACCTACAGAGCGCAACTATCAATTTTACGACAAGGAGATGCTAGCCATCATTAGAGCCTTAGAGCACTGGCGGCACTACTTAGAAGGTGCTAGACACCAATTTGAAATTTGGACCGATCATAAGAATCTGGAGTATTTTATGACGGCCCGAGACTTGAACCGAAGACAGGCCTGCTACGCAGTATACTTGTCAAGGTTTAATTATAAATTAATTCATAAGCCTGGAAGCTCTATGGGGAAAGCGGACACTTTATCCAGGAGAGAGGATCATGCCAACGGCATCGAAGATGACAACAAAGGAGTTACCTTGATAGACCAATCAAGGGTTGCCAATGTTAGAATCGGGCAGGATTCCGATCTTCTGGAAGTCTTCAGGAAAGGCATCTCCTCAGAAGAGAAGGTGCGCCTTGACGGCAATGAAAACTATTTATGGGAAGACAGGCTCTTCCATTTTAAAGACAAGATCTATGTGCCTGAGTCCGCAAGGATCAAGGCAATAGATAGACATCACGACACTCCAGTGGCTGGGCACCCTGGGTGGCAACGAACAATGGAGTTGATCTCCAGAAACTACATGTGGCCTGGCATGGTCAAAGACATACAGGAATATGTAAAATCCTGTCTGAGATGTGCCATGGCAAAGAATTCTCATCAACCGCCGGCCGGTAAACTTATGCCAAATCCGATACCAGCTGGTCCCAGGCAGGATATATCGGTTGATTTCACGACGGATCTGCCCGAGTCAAAGGGGTATGATTCAGTAATGGTGGTAGTGGATCACTTCTCCAAAGAAGTAGTATTCATACCTACCAATAAAACCATTACTGCCGCGGGTACGGCAGATTTATTTAAAGATTTTGTATGGTCTATCCATGGGTTACCAGAAACGGTTATCTCTGATAGAGGACCTCAATTCGCTAGCGAATTTACGAAAGAATTATGCCGGATGCTGGGCATCAAACCTAAGTTATCAATGGTGTTCCATCCGCAGACCAATGGACAAACGGAGAGACTCAACCAGGAGTTGAAGCAATACCTCCGGATATTTATTAATGACAGGCAGACGGATTGGGCCAAGTGGCTAAAGATAGCCCAGTTCTCATATAATATCAAACAGTTGTCGGCTACAGGAAAGAAAGGCACCATTTGAGGTTACTAGATTGTACCTCCCCAGAATGGGTGTAGAACCTGGTAAAAGCAAGAACGAGGCTGCTGAGAACATGGCAAAAGACATGAAGTCTGTCTTAAACGAAATGCGCAAGGCGCTATTCAAAACTGCAGAGCAGATGAAAGACAGGGCAGAGCGTAGACGCTCTAAAGCCCCTGACTACAAGGTCGGCGACCTGGTCTGGTTAGATACCGACCACTTAAAATTAAAAGATCAGCAGTCTAGAAAACTGACCGAAAAGTGGATTGGCCCTTACCAGATTAAGGAAGTCAAACTGAATGTGGTGGAGCTGGAACTCCCAAAACGAATGAGGGTAGTACCCACGGTCAATATAAGCCGTGTGAAACCCTACAAAGGGCCGCTGCCAGGACAGCGTGTAGATCGGCCCGGACTGGTTGTAGTCACCCAGGAAGGTGAAGAAGAATTTGAAGTCGAACGGGTGGTGGATGCACACTTGAAGTGTGGCAAATTAGAGTTCCTAGTCCTATGGAAGGGCTATGGAGATGAGGACAGAACGTGGGAACCAGAAGCCCATCTGGACAATTCCCGCGATGCTGTTCGCAAGTTTTATTCTAAGAATCCCTCAGCTCCTAGGAAGCTTAGAGGCATAGATTCAAAACTTTTTAATTCTCTTTTTCAACCTATGCCCGAAAATTAAATCAATACCTCTGGTATTTGGTCTCACCTGGAAGTCGAGCCTTAGAAGGGGGGTAGTGTTACGATAACACAATTTTCGGACCTTCCCTTTATTTTTATTCTCCGCTTTAACCTTGTACTTTAGCTTCCACACATGGTGCCACGTGGCACTTCCCCTTTTTTTCGTCCAAACTCCTCTTTCTCATGCCGTGTTGCCTTTCTTCTTATTATAGACACAACTCTCTCACACAGTGGAGCTGGCCATGTGGGCTAGGCCCCATGACATCATCAGCCACTATCTCTATCAACTGTATAGTACACGTGTACAAATAACCCTGTAGTAGTATATATACCCCAATAGATCCAGGAGACTCCTCAGGGAGTCCTCCTGTTGTTAACCAACAAACTCCCTGCAGCTTAAAGGGTAGCCACTCCCTCATCATCTTCCTTATAGTGTGTTTCTGTGTGTGCCAGAGTAACTAACTCTTGGTTGTTACAATGCAAGGCCACAGTGCCTTTATGATGTGTGAACTGGCCCACTTGAAGGATAAGCTAAGTAGGATGAAGGGAAAGGGGAAAAAGAGAAAGGGGTTACGTGTTCACGCTGAACTTCTGACTAGTGCTGAGTTGCATGAGAGGCATATGGCAGAGGAAGAAGAAAGGCGAGGAAAGAAGAAGTGGCCAAGGCCCTAAAAGCAGCGAAGACGGCTGAGCACCAGGCCCAGATGGCCAGGCTGAATGGTACTGAGGTCTTTACAGGAGCGCTGGGCAGCAAGGCAAAGCAGGAGGTCCTTGATCGAATCAAGGACCACTTTGAAACCCACCCAGACCTGGAAAGAAATGCCCGCTTTGCGGGTTTATTTGGAACTCGTGCTCGAAGACAGGTACTTTTATTGACTTATTTACCAGCTCTTTCTAATGTATTCTAGGCTGCTGCCCCTCCTTCAGCCCCCACAACGTCGTTTTCACTCCCATCTGGAAGTGGCATATCCATGCCTGTTGGTTCATCACTTGAGGTTCCCCCCGGGTCCTTACCAATGCCATATCTGCCCCAGTTGTATTTATCACAGCCCCACATGGGTTATCCCCCTCCGTTCTTGCCTGGTACTCATAATACTTTGACATTTTCTCCATCATCAAGTTCGGGTATTTCTCAACATTCCCAAAATATGCCTTATTTTGTACCTACTAATTTCATACATAGTAATAATAGCATGTTTAATAGATAGAATGTATTTTATTTCCTGTTCAAATCCTTCACTTTCATGGCTTGAAAGTCGAAACAACGCACTTACTAGCAGCGTCAGGACTTGTCGGAAATTTTGATCATTTGGCCGAATCCTGCCGACGAGCTCCGCCTGATTTCGTCTGTGAGTGCCGCTGTGACCTAGTGTGACCGAAAGTTGCAGAACCATTCCAAAAGGTGTGTCGTCGTTTCGGTTTTGTTCCGCTGCACCAACGCTTCTATTTCTTGCTTATTTTACTACATAGGCAGCTAGAAAACTAAAAATTGTATCTACTGGTCAAGTTCCGATGGTCTCAAGTCCAACGACTGCTGAGTAATTCAACTTCTCCTCAGACCAATTGCACCTATTGTCCAGCCATAGTAAGTCTCCCCCTTCGAATGATAAATATCGGGACAACACTATTTTATATATCGGGGCGTGGGATAACACTGATAACTTGAACACCACGATCATGGACTTGGACGTACCACTAGTCCTGGTGCAAATCCACTATGCAGTGATGGTCAATCTTTTAGGCACGTAGACCAGGACAGCACTGATGGTTACACGTGATATCTATCGTATGCTCAGAATTCCAATATATTGAATCACACTCCAACCCTACGAAAAAAGGGTTAGTCGTTGATGCCAAGCCCGTTTGAGGAAAAACATACCTATGGATCACCTTTTTCTATTGAAAAGGCATCACACTCAATACACATCCAACCCAAATAATTGGTCACGCACCTGTCCAGAGAAACGGATTACTTCTCTTTTTTCCATTATAAACAATGTCCTCTCTAGGGCATGACTAGAATAGCCTTGTTGGGTAACAAACTCTCGAACAAGACTTTGATAACTAGTACTCCATCCAACAGGCAGTCGTCTCCGAAGCTCTTTCTCTATCCTCGTGATCTCCTCGTTCAGCTCCCCACGCGAGAGACCATCGGCAGAGCCTGCAGATACAGCATCCATCGTAGAGAATTTGAATAGTCTGATAGCTTCATCTACATGGTGGTTCTGAACGACTGTGCTGAGAGTCATTTTGGCGAGAGATTCAGATATACGGATAATTGCTTCAAGTTGCCTAGGGTGAATAATTTAGAATAATCAAGAGACGCCAATATATATTTTTTACAAACCGGACAGTGATTGGGATAGAGCTGCGTTCATCATTGTCTCGTTCCACCTGCTGCACCTGTTGACGCAGACTTACGAAGTGGCTGCTGAGCATTTCTTGAGCATCCGGTGAAAGCCTTGGTGCACATTTACTGAATGACCACGGCTCAGCATTAAAAAGGGTTAACATGATGTCTGGTAAAAACTTACTTTTTGCAGTATGCAATATAACGTTTCATCTTGTCGATGTCGATCTCACCTACTGCCTCACCATTCTCCCCAGTCGATGGATTAGGACGGTTCATATGGATATTCATGACATGTTTGGCTATCATCTAAAACGAGATATGAGAAAATTTCGAGGAAATGAACAAAAAAAGTACAAACCCGATCTCGCTGCTCGTTGTGCTCATCTTTAACGATGAAAATCATATCAAACCGCGACAGAATGGTTGTTTGGAAGTCGATGTTCTATCCATCCATACGATTTTAGCTATGTTCCCCATGTTCCTAAAGACGTGAGAAATTGAAAAGACTCACTTCACCCGGACTACGGCCTTCGTCGTATCTGCCCCATACGGGGTTTGCTGCCGCAAGTACACTCGTCCTGGAGTTGAGCACCGTTGTTATACCTGCTTTTGCGATAGAAATTGTCTGCTGCTCCATCGCCTCATGAATAGCCACACGATCTTCGTCACGCATCTTATCGAACTCGTCAATGCAAACCACTCCAGTGTCGGCAAGAACCATAGCACCCCCTTCCAGATAGAATTCACGCTATGATATCGATATCATGAGTTTTATGAAGTGCATATTGTCAATATATGGACACTCACCGATACAGAATCTCGCTGAACTGAAGCTGTCAAACCTGCAGCACTAGACCCCTTTCCCGAAGTGTAAACAGCAATCGGCGCAACCTGAAGAACATGATGGTACCACTTCTTGCCTCCATCTAGAGGACAAAGCATACCTTTTCCACAAACTTCAAAAGCTGACTCTTCGCAGTACCAGGATCACCCAACAACAAGACATTAATATCTCCTCGTAACCTCATTCCATCAGGTAGAATTTTCCTAGATCCACCAAAAAGTAGACAAGAAATAGCCTTTTTGATATCTTGGCCGTAGATCAGTACAGAAACCGAGGAATACTTCAAAAAGTGCATACCAAGGCTGCCGTATATACTAGGACCCACGCTTCTAGCAAACCGATCATAAAATCCCTCGCTCCGCGCCATTTCTCCAAACTCTTCCTCTTCTTCGGGACTGAACTGAACACCGAAGGGATTTAAGCCACCAGAACTTCCGGATGAAGGTGAGGACATCTCTATATGAACCAGACGAAGGTATGGTTGGCGAAGCGCTGCAGCACCGGCAGATTTCTGTTGAACGTATTACTCCAAATTTACGTCGATATACAAAGAAGCTGACTCACGTCTTTGGCGGACTGGAAGGTCGAGTAAATCCCCGTAGCAATGATTCGGGAACCAGGCACAACTTGACCAGTCAAATATCTATCTGCTGACAAGAGCATATGCCGTGGTAGCTCTCCTACAGGGACCATATCAGGTGCTTCTTGTAGTTTCAGTGTTTGTTGGTCGACAAAGGAAGAGTATGAATGCATGATGATGTAAGGGTCGAGAGGGCAGTCTTTCTTCTGGTTTTCAAGCTCTGGTGCATCACAAGTGCGGGGCAAGCCTCTATCGGAACCACTGCCCAAACCACCCATACCTCCAGGGGGGTATATAATTTTCGTAGATCTGCAAGCTCTGCACTGTAGATGCAGTTTGGTGGATCGCGCAGAAAGCACTGAGGCGGATATAACGATTCCAGGAACACGGACTAGTTTATTCATGGTATTGGCAGTAAGGTCACGGAACTTGAGCATGTTTAGCCCAGACTTTATCGTGACTTGTACTTTTGGAATTGCTTGAATTGCTGCCTCTGCTCGTTCATCAGATGCATTCGCGAGGGGAAAGAGAATAGTTCGCGAAGCTTTGGTAGCGGCATTTTCAAACTATAGTCACGTCGTATGGGGATTAGTAGTCGGAAACAACTTCTTCCTAACTCACCAGAGGAAGGATATCAGCAGGCCTATCTTGAATGGCGTGAGCTAGTTCATCATTATACAACCCAATGTGGCGTAGATCAACTTCTAACTGATATTGCTTCAAGAGCAAATTGGCACGAAGCTTATCTCTATTCAGCAATCATTTAGAGGTAAACGCAGCTGTGTGAAATCCTTAGTGAATACCTGTATATGAATTCACCGCCGACGCGATACTGCAGAAGGAAGTCAAGAAGTAACTTTTCAGATTGCGAAGGTGTTTCTGGTGAAGAACTTGATGGTATATCGTGGACAGATACCGTATATACTTGATTTGCATCAAAGCCAGACATGATGGTACGGGTGAAAAGGTAACGCTGAAGTAAATGAGACACGCGCCTACAATGAACTATTCAGGGCAAGTGTTTACGCGTTGAAGTTCCAGCAAATAATTTAATATAGCTAATGAGCTTGATTTGCAAGTCCCGTTTAGCTCAGTTGGTAGAGCGCGTCACTAGTAATGACGAGGTCAGTCGTTCAAGTCGGCTAATGGGAAAGTTAGTTTTTTGCCTTTTTCTGCTCACAGTCACCGTTATCATAACCTCACTTGCGTACTATTAGGCTGTCACAGGTAAACGTTGACCGGAGCCATCCACCAGCAAGTGCAAGGATTATAGGAATTTTTGTGCTATGGCTTCTATGGACACCGATGAGTTATCTGTGGTTCTCCCATCCAGTACAACATCTGGTCTTTCCCTCTCGTTGTACGTCCTGGATTATCATTTGACTTGGAATAACTTACAAATTAATCGTAGACACCCGCTACCGATCTTGAATATATCTGAACACCTCACACGATTGAAACTGCAGACAAGGTCGAATTCACCTTTTGGTTAGTCTTATTCTGTATATCGTATCTTCAATTATTCACATCCCACCAGTGCTCGGAGCTTTACTTGGGACACAGACTGGGCGAGATGTTGAAATCGTAAACACATTTGAACTGGCGACGGAAGCTGGGAATGATGATCAAGTGGATAATGAGTTTCTAGTATCTAGAAGGGACCAGTGTGAGTTATCGCCCGTGATTATATTGTTCAGTGATGTCATATCGCATCTATGCTTTAGACAAGCAAGTCTTTCCTTCTCTTGAGATTATCGGATGGTATACTTTTGCACCCATCCCAACATCTCGTCATATTGCTTTGCATGAACAGGTACGTTGACAGACGACGTTTTTGATAACTAATTATAACGTTTTTACACTACGCCATTCTAGTTCACTAAATACTGTTCTACGCCGTTGCTCCTCATACTTCAACCCTCTTCAAGCTCCACTTCGTCATCTGATCTGACAGGCCAAACGCTGCCGCTGAAAGCCTATGAGCCTACTACTGAAATCCGAGACAAGAAGACGCGTTCAGTCTTCATCGAAGCATCCTTTGTAGTAGAGACCGGCGAGGCTGAGCGTATCGCGGTGGATTGGACGGCGAAAGGCGGAGGCGGAGGAACGACTCGTAAGTATCTGTCTGCGATTTTGCTTGCTATATGTCAACCGTCTTTGCCTTCAGTGGAATCACATCTGCAAACCCAGAGGGCAGCAGTAAAAATGCTTCACGAGCGTATCTTAGTACTCGTGCAGTACGTCACAAATGTCATAGCAGGTGCGCACAAACAGATGGTACATGGTGTCCACCTAACTTTGTCATAGGTCAAGCTGCCAAGGACCATACTACACTACGCTCGCTGTCGGCCTTGATCGCCTCTCTACCCGCGAGTGAAAATAGGGGTTTCCGCAATGAATTTGAAACCGTAAGTGTCGATGATGTCGGATCTGATTATCTCTATCTCATCCCTGAATAGGAATACGAAGATGTACAGCTAACAGCATTCCTGTCGACGCTGACAAAATCAGCCAACATTCTAAACGACGTGAGTGATACTTCCTACACATATTTATCTTGCATTTGTTCATATTTGGAGATTAGCTGGTCGACAAACACATCGTTATGACAGTTGGCAACCGCGACGAGCGGGGGATTGGGGGTCCCAGAAGAAGAATGGGTAGACAAGGGACTATGCCCGGGGATTGGGGATTGCATTCCTAAACAATGTCCCTCCTTCTGAGCTTCTTTGATCCCTTGCGGTCCCGTTCTCGTAGCCAATTCTCACAGTCATGACTGTAGCAATATGTATCATCAGAGACACTTATACAGTACAAGAATTTCCACCTAACAGCCCTCGCCTGTAAGATACCCGACCGTGACGGAGGTTGTAAGCATACAATTTGTCAGTGGGAATGAAGAAGGTCTAGATGGCGCATGAGCGCTATAAAGCTGATGATATTGGACACTTTGATCAGCCACGGGTGTGACTCGCTCTGTCTCCGCAACTATACACGTAGAAAACTTGCCAGCTCACGATGGAATCTTCGACGCTTGCCAATGTAGAATTCATCACCCTGGATTATATCGTGAATCTATTCTCCCCTAAAGGATTGTATATAATCACATACGGATGGTTGTTTGGAATGTGTAAGTTGTGAAATCATGTCCATTCACCCTGCCTTGCTAAATCCTTGTTGACTTTTAGCTGTATGGGTCTCGTTCTTTGGAGGTTCGTTCTTCCGTTCATGTTGTAAATGAACACCGGCAAATTAAACTAATATATACTCCAGGAATAATTGCTTTGAGAGCTTTACGTGCGTTATTGAGGTTCACCACTACATCTATCTCACACCAACGCCTGCTTTGATTTCATCAGCTAGACATCAGTTCGGTGCTCTTCAAAGTCGCAGCTTTCCGGCATACTTTGGTTCGTCTTTAATCTTGACGTCCATCTTACTTGGTCTCTGGACGAACAACCACCCCGATGTCGTGTCGAACGTATGCAGTCCCAACATCGCCAATGTCGCACAAGCATATGCTTTGGGGAGTGTGCTTGTACTGCAAGGAATAAACTACTTTGTGTTGGGACCAATAACGACCAAGTATGTATACCATTTCTACTCTTTCTAGTTTTCTGTACTGATCACATGTGACAGGATTATGTTCCAACGCCATAAACTCGAGAAAGCAGAAGGGAAAAGTTACAACGAGCCTGGTGTAAGGCCTCTTTGATTATATTTTGGACCTGATGACGCTAAAATCACTGATTGGTATTATAGGTGTCCGCTGAAATGAAGGCACTCAGCAGCAAATTTGGTAAACTTCATGGTTTCAGCTCCCTAGCCAACCTCTTCGCAGTCATAGCTTTGGCGTTCCACGGCTTATCAATTGCTCAAAGCTACTGATCGGATATGCAGCCAGGAGAAGTCGATGGTCCGATTTCAAGAGGTAGTGTCTAATCTATGTACTCCAAAGTTGTGCCCCGGATGTGTATCTCGAGTTTTGCTTTTTTATCTGAAAAAGCGAGTACCAGTAGTGAAGATTACAAAAATACAATTTTGTATAACAAGTTACTTTCATGCACCAACAGCCTCCAAACTTGGCATGTATCCTTCCCGAAGACTTCTTTCTAATCTTGTGATCTCCTCGATAGACGTTGCTTTCGCGATGGCCTGTTTGACCTTTTCAGCATCCTCTTTTGACATCAACCGCCCAGCCTTCCCAGACATAGCAAGTTTGGGCTCGTCTGTAGTAGCTGCAGCTTTTGATCCTAGCGTTGAGACGGTGGTTGATATTGTCGTCGCGAGAGCAGTATGTAGACCCTCAGCAGTAAGGAACAACGAGTTACCGATTTGTCTCTCCTGAAAGTACGATCTGAGCTGCCTGATCCCGTCGAGTGTTCGAACGTCGTAAGCGCACCTTATCCCGGATTCTCTGGAAATCCAAAACTCTCAGTGAAGGTATTCTCCACGCAAGCCACTCGCGATACCATTTCTTTTCAGTAACAGGGTTCCCCATCAACGACAGATACTTCAAACCCTTCACCTCTCTGAGAGGTTCTAGATCTCCCAACTCGGATATATTGTTGTTGGTAAGGACGAGGGTTGTTAAATTAGGTGCCGAAAGGTGAATGGATGATGAGATCGAGGCTACTCGGTTATTGGCCAACAACAATGTTCGTAGCCGTTTTAGCAGGGGAATATTGCCCAAGACGATGATGGAATTATCTGTGAAATCTATGGCATCGTGCTGGTCCTATTTAGCAATCATTTCCGTCAGTTTATCAGTCTACAAATGGCTCAGAGGAAGGGGAGACAGTACTCTTGTGACTCCAAGGTTCTCGATGGCAGGGATTTTGTACCCTGTGATCCGTTTTTGTGAGCGTGTTGCTTGAAATTTGGAAGGTGCGCACCTCGCAGATCGAGCTGCCGTTCCTTTATTGGATTGAGAGCAGAGGAAGCCTGAGCGAGCAGCTCTGGAGTGAGTTTTACCATCGCAGTCCCACTGTAACAATGAAAGCCTAATGGATTCAGACTCAGACTCAGATACACGAGGAAAAAGCACTTGTACGCAAACAAGCCTCAAACGCGACGCGTGAAACGCCGTTTCAGTCCAAGCTCTTTACCATGAAGCCCGTTTACCAACGTCTTAACTTGTGAGTGGGATGGCTTATATTTCTTCTGCACTGCGCTGATATGCCTTAGATTCGTCGACGTCGACGCCTATACCTTTGTTCCCGTGGAACCAGTGGGTGCGCAGTCACTCACCATACACCGAAGCACGGGAGACATTGTTCTAAATCGTAAGCAACCAGGACCTCTTCTTGTCAGTGGCCCAGTCTAAGTAACACCACAAGCTCCCAATGCGACCATTCCTTCAACTGCCTCACGCTTTGCAAAGACTGTGTATGGTATCTTGGGCCTCATATCGCTAGCTTTATGTGAGTGTGAAAATTACCACGCAATCTATCTTTCTGGACCTCGCTATCTTACTATTTGTAGCCGAATATGTTATTGTTTTGACTGGGCGAGAGCACCGAGGGAAACTAATGGCAAACGACATATACCGGGCTGCAGATTTCGACATTTTACCACTGAACCCCAACGTATCCGTGCAAAACCCACCACATCCTGTCGAAGGTCACTTGTTAGCTCTTGTCAAATCGCATCTACGGGGTGGCTTCTTTTTGTTCAGCTACAGCTGGGACTTGTCCCGGAGGCTACAAGCGCAACAGGAAAGTGAGAAAGAGAAGCCGCTGTGGGAGGTGGTACGTTATCTCTCCATCATTATTTTATATATTAAAAGTGCATCCACAGGCGGACGATAGGTTTTTCTGGAATAAGTTGGTAACTCATCTCATCAATTATAGTCTCAACTAACCAGGATTGCTAGGTTTCTTCAATCTAGACTCATAGACACAGATATTGCGCAAGTTGTGAGGTTACTTTCAACTTTCAGGTTTTGCTGGTATTGACCAACGCCAACCACAGCTCAGCCCTTATATTCTACCAGTTATCTATGGCAGTATGTCTCGTCCATATATCTACTTTCTAACAGTATTGCTGAGGATTCAACGCTCCAGCTTTTGATCTCCGCACCGTTTACATCCACGGTCATCGAATCCAACTTTGTCTGATCAGTCGCCGCTCACGATACAGAGCTGGCACACGGTATTTCAGACGAGGTATTGACCATGACGGTCACGTAGCCAATTTCAACGAAACAGAACAAATACTCCTCGTTGAGGACCAGCCAGCAGCCCTGGCGTCGAGTGGGGATTATAACGACAAGCTGAGCTTCGTGCAGATTCGCGGCAGTGTCCCTGTCTACTGGGCAGAGATCAACACTTTGAGATACAAGCCGGATTTACAAGTCATGGAGTTACAAGACACTGTAAGTTGGTTTAGAAAATTATGCTAGACATCTGAACTTGATGTACCTCGCAAGGTTGATGCAGCACGGCTACATTTGCAAGAACAAGTTTCTCTCTATGGCGAGCAGCGTCTGGTGAATCTTGTCAATCAGAAAGGTCACGAACAACCTGTGAAAGAAGCATATGAACGCACAATGTCACAGGTGCGTCAACTGCATGCTCTTAATCTCAAAAAAAAACTCAGTTCTCTTTTAGGTTGACCTGCCCGGAGTCAAGTACCAGTACTTTGATTTTCATAATGAATGTAAACATATGCGGTGGGACCGAATTAGTGTTCTCATCGAGAAATTGGAGGAAGATCTACTTAAGCAAGGGTGAGTAACTTTTTACTTTTGAGTAACCGCCTTTTAAATTTCTTGTCATTAGATATTTCCACACTAGCACGAAGCAGTCCAGCCCTGTACAGAGGCAATTGGGTACAGTGCGTACGAACTGTATGGATAATTTGGATCGGACCAATGTTGTACAAGCCGCGTTGGCAAAATGGACATTGAACCATCAACTTAAAACTCTAGGAGTTTTTTCGGAGAACGAACAATTGGACGATTTTGAGACTCTGAGCAGCGATTTCCGTGAAAGTAAGCTGTCTTGTCTCCGAACCGGGATATAGGCTTACATTAAAGTATATAGTGTGGGCTGATCATGCAGACCTAATCTCAAAAGCATATGCTGGTTCTGGTGCCCTCAAGACAGATTTCACTAGGACAAATAAACGAACAAAGATGGGTGCACTTGAAGACGGGTACAAAAGTGTTCTTCGTTACATCAAGAACAATTACTTTGATGGTGCAAGACAGGTTAGTCGGGAATTGTGAAAGCTGCTGGTATAAAGCTAATTTTGGTCCTGCTTAGGATGCATTCGACCTCGTTACTGGGACATGGATACCGCACAAAAATCCATCCATTGCCTTATCTCTTGTTGTTGACCGCCGGCCCCTCGTCATTCGCTCGGTGAATAAACTATTTATTATAGCAGTAATATATTGCTTACTCTGTAACAGATGCCATATATCCTTTCGTTTTCGCTTTTCATGATTTGCGCAGGTCTTACGCTACCTAGGACTTCTGGTTTGTTTATATTTTCATATCATTGTAGATGGCTGACGAACTTTGACTCAGATTACTCCCTTTTCTACTACTTCATGCTTTGGTTCATTATGGCATGCTTGTCCATCGTGTTCATCATGATCCACGGTATCGAGTATGTCTCTTGGCCCCGCTTGATGCCACCAACGGACATCATATATTACACTGGGCCTGGTTTCCGTTCAGGACACCATGGAAAAGGTTTAGGTAGTGCCAGTGGCAAGGCGGATGGAATTGTTGATGGGCTAGGTGCCAAGTGGTTGCCAAGTGGTCGCAAAAGAGCTGCTACGAATGCCCGAATTGAGGAGATAGAGATGGGTACGAAGAAGAGAGTTGATTGATTTCGCACAGGAGTTTTATCATCGTTCCCATGCTTTTCCTTGTCGTGGTGTCAATTCTGAGACTTTCAACAGTGAACCACTTCGAACCCATCAATCCCACATGAGAAATTATGAACGGCAATATCGTGCTTAACTGGTGAATGTGTGCTTAGTACGCGGCCGCTAGGACCCCTGGGACACTGCTGAGGCAAAGAATATAATTTTAGAACAATCATGATTATGATTTATGAACACCTTACCGTGCCACAGCGGAGTCCGGAATTTTCCGCCCAAAATTTCTTCCAGTGCATGTTTGGGATCATATCTCTTCTCACCTCTCCTCTAATCGAAAGTAACTATGGTCGTCAAAACAGGTAAAAAACGCGCTTCTCCTGGAGCAGATGTCGAGAAAAACCCCCTCCAAAATGTTGAATTGAGTGACGAAGATGCTCAAAAGCTCCAAGATATCCAAAAAGATATCCAACGCGCAGAACTTGTACTAGGTGCGTGCAATGAGCTCCCTTGAATGTCCCCTAATTCCCTAAATTCATTTTACTGCAGAGCGTCGTGCACAACAAGCTCTAGTCCCAGTGTACGAAAAAAGACGGGCTGTTGCCAAATCTATCTCCAAATTCTGGCCTGTTGCTCTCATGAACCACACGATGTTCGCTTTCCATGCCCAGCATAACATCGACCAGATTGCACTGAGCTACCTGGAAGATGTTTGGGTCGCCAGAGACCCGAAGGAGTCCAGATGTTACACAATCGAATTTGTAGGTTAACCCCGCATCTGGTTTATAGATGTACGTGGGAGCTTACACAGCGTTTGGTCGGTAGTACTTCAAAGAGAACCCCTATTTCTCTGATTCCGTCTTGAAGAAGGAGTTCAAATATGTTGCTCCTCCCTCGGCTTCCGATGATGCCCCTGATGCGGATGGTATCACGTCCTCCATGCTCGACTTCTCCTGGGAACGCGACGTGGTGTCATCGGTATATATGGTTTACTAGCTTGCTCTTGTGGCCTGCTAACGCCTTGTTCTAGGCCACAAAAATCAACTGGAAAGATGCCGCCAACGCGCTTACCAAGTTGCACCCTCGCGTTGCGGAAGAGGACGATGAGGACGATATGCCTGCAGAATCCGGAAGCTTCTTCAACTTCTTTGAGATAGAATCCGATCCTTTCGAGGTATGTAGTAGAAATTTCTTGGTGTGACCCCTCCTTTCTGATATCCGATTTGTAGGTTGGCGTCCTCATCGCAAACGAGATTTTCCCTGAAGCTACCGACTACTTCCTTGGTAACATGGGAGGTGATGAGCTTGACAGCGACGACGAAGATAGCGAGGATGATGACGATGAGGCTGAAGAAATTGACTTGGAAAAGCCCAAATCTAAAAAGCAGAAGAAGAATTAAAAGTCTCCTTTAGCAACCCGCATCCTGAACGATGTATACCATACTCCTATCCAACTTTTGGCTAGCGTTCCTTCGTAGAGATTTTCTCTCCACCCTGTGCCATCACTCCATCACGTGCATTTGCTAGATGTATGGTTTTTTTTCGCAGTTTCTGATCTCGCATATCTTTATTATAACATATATACATTCCGTAGTCCAATGTTGTAGTAGCACATTGCCAAAGTGTCCATGACCACGGTAGAATCTCCAGTCCGAAACACGTCATACAGGAGGAGCCTTCCAGAGTTCCATCTCCTGATAATCTGCAAAAATGAACCAAGATCGAAAGATATACAGTAGAGCCATGTCTACTTGTTTCTACTTCTATCATTGAAATGTTGCATATTAAGATTATTTATGATAATGATACCCATTTTCAAAGTTTGTCGACTAGTAGCAAGCCTTCCTAACGAGAAGAGGAAGTGAACTAGGCCCTTGTCCTGCAACACGGGGCCGAATGACGAAACTCTGGAAAGCCTCGATCTCGTAAGGACAAGAGAACGAGAATTGGCGGATGAGTGTGACGATTAGAGCCTGATATGATACAGCGAAAGGGGTCATTTAGCTTGAAATTCTGGTGCTGCCCTGGAGAATTACGCACCTTCATTTCCACTATTGCAAAGCTCCTTCCTAGACAACCTCTAGGGCTGACGAACATGATATGATATCAAGCAACGATCATGTATAAAAGGCGTATGTGGCTTACCCGAAGCTGAAGGCAAACAGGTCTCGGTGACAACGGTGGCTCAGGTTGCTGGCATCGTGCTTCAACCAGCGTTCAGGACGGAATACGTCTGCGTCGGGACCCCAAACAGTTTGGTCCTGTTGGATGACGTTCACAGGCATCGAGAGGATGGTTCCCTTTGGTATGATCAGATGGAGATCACTAGTTCCAGGAAGTGGTTCTGAAAGTGGGATGCTAGTCGTCTCTGCAGACTGATAGAGGGGCAGTCAGTCAACAGGCATTAGATAAGTATTAGATGTATACTTACTTCATGGTGGTTTTCCAGAACGGGAGGATGCATACGAATGGTTTCTCTCACGAAAGCATCCAATAGTGGATACTTGACGCGCAAGTCATCGAAGGAGGGATCACCGGCGGTAGAGACCTCGTCCCGTAAGGCTTGCTGCAACCGAGGATCGATGGCAAGCTCGTGGAGCATCCACTAGGAAAGAATTCAATAAATAATACAGAAAGGAAATAGGGTATGGCTTACGGCTACACTTGCAGAAACAGGTTCGTACCCCGCTGAAATAATAGTTCGCATCTGAGCGGAAATCTGCTCTTCATCCATCTGTTGTCCGGAAGCCGCCTCTTCGGCTCGCACTGAGTGAAGCCAAAGTGAGTCACACCAACGGAGGACGCAGATCATCCGTGGGCACCTACAGATCAAGGACATGAGGGTCTTGCTATCTGGATCGGCGGCTATTTTGGCGTCGTGTAAGATCCTGATCGCCAGTTTGCCAAGCTCATTGCGTGTCTTGCGAATCATCTCGCCCTTCTTACCGACGAAAAGAATGGAGGGGACCAGCCAGAATAGGGCGCGCATGTAGAATGACGCTCTTGTCTGCTCGTGGTTAGTCAGACCGTCCAGGGTCTGGGCAAGTTCATGCGGTTCCCCGTTTAAGCAAGTGAAGTCGTAGGAAAAAGCGGCCTGTCCGATGTTATCGAGCCTATGTAGCGCTAATCAGATTTAGTTGAAGGTGAGATTCGCGTTGGCTTCTTACGCATAACGACCAGACCAGTTTGTCATCTCGATCTCTACCTCGTCGGCCTCGCCGGCCTCGAGCTGCTTTGCCCAATGAGCGGCCATCTGGGGTGACGTATTAGATGAAGTCACTTGTCCATTGTGATCAGTACGTACTTTGGAAGCATTCTCGTAAAAAATCGTGGTTAGATTCCTTGTGGATTGGTGGCTGAAGAGTGATGAGCTGATGCCTAGTCTCTTCGTCATGGTGAGACATACCTTAACGCAGGCGCGAGTGAACGGCGCTGTTTTTCGTGGGCCTCCTTTCCTGTAATAAAGCATGAAATAAAGAACAAAAAAAAAGCTAGTTGTTAATCGTACCTTCCACCCACAAAATACCTTCGCCTAACAAGGTCCGAAACCAAGCACGCACACCCTGAGGTTTGGGAAACAAGTATGTTCCTTCACCTAATATATAGGATATGGCGCGAGGATCTGTGATAGAAAGGACCTGGTGCTGTGTGCGTTGGTGATAAGTATTTTAGCACCAACGAATATGGTAAAGGTACTTACACCGAACGCTCCTGTGAACTTGACAACATTGCCATAGTGTCTGTGCCATTGAAGATGTAACGACCCGGGCACATTGTAGTACAGTTTCTGCTCTTCCCCCCAAATCAGAGACGAGCAGCTCGGTCCTGGGATACGTCGAAACGCAAGGCGCGCGGCAAGCCTCCTCTGGACAAGTCGGATGATGCCAACGAGGATGAGGGCAAGGGCGAGGTGGGGTACGGACAACATGAAAGCAATAGTACAACACTGGGAACAGAGAAAATGAGAGCGTTGGGTGAAGTCAGGAAGGGCCAACGGGGAAAAATGAGAGGGCATGTCAGCCGCTTTTTATATGTTTTCCGCGACCTATAAATCTGGACTACAGCCCACTTTGATAAACGATGATGAATACGCCAGAGATCGGGCGCTACTTACAGTCTCATACTGATCGCGAATAATGGGAAACCAATCCGGTGATGGCTACTACCCTGACTTCCGATAGATGGTCTCTGTTTAGGTATAGTTTCAGGATACAATCAGACTTTTGTGACGCAGAAGAGACGAAGATGGAACATAAGACTGATTGATCTATGCTCCAAATGTCAATGGTAAAGGCAGGGCTAAGGCACGGATAGATGCTGCGAAAACACGCATCTTGTGGATGCGGTATGACCTACAGCTAACTCAACGGCGGTACGGCCATGAATAAATTCTAGCATATTTTCCGCACCTAAAGAAGCACACAAAGCAGAGATCTTAAGCCCTGAAAAACAAATGTGGTAAGGACGGAGCATCAGAACACGTAAACGAAAGGCATTTGACAAGGTGAGTAAATCAAACAAGCTCTTTGAACAGCAGTTCGATGGATAAAACAAATTTGAAGCAGTCCTTTTAAAGTCACGTGATGATCTGGAATTGGGAAAGGATCAGTACCGCCGATGGAAGAGAGCCAGTCACTCAACATTCTCCTGCGAATAAGGCCATAGGGGCACAGATTACTATCCAGTTCTTGTGCCGGCCTCTTCGCTAGAGGTGCGGCTACGTGAGTAATGGTCTCTCGCATGCAACGTGTTCAGTCGCACCTTTCTTCAGACACTCGATGTTCAATCGAAGGTGAATGTCGTAAGCGATGGCGCTCCAGATACATCGATGTCTATCCACTTGACTGCTTGCTTTTACCGAGAGATATATTCGTGACTCGTGTGCTCAGGGTGTACTCCTCATACAGAATCAAAAGAGGGAAACAGTCTTGCATGATACTGACTCGTTCGAAGTACTTCGTTTTCGAGACATTATTTCACTGCTGATCGCAATTCGAAGGGATCTCTCGGGTCCGCCATAATGGGGCTGCTGTATATTCCGGCATGGTGTAGAATGTGCATGTGTGCTTATTTCGTCGAGTCTGTGCACTGTGACTGAATGATATGAGCATTCAATGAGTGGCGGTAACTGACAGATACTATAAACAGACCGAGAGCGCCTGGCGGTGGCGGGAAGCGATCACACGTCGACAGACTTGGATTTTGCCAGTCCGACTTTTGCAACCACCAGAGACGGAGCAAAGTCTCATTTTATTCCCTTTCTTCTTATCGTCGCATGTCCAACCATCGGAGCAACCCTTCTGCGAACCTAAACCAGCCAGCATTGCGCCACAGACCCAGTTTCACCAACGTGGAAGCTGGTTCCGAACAACAGGACATGTCCCCGGCGCCTCTCGACTCTAGGGCCGTATCGTCATCTTTGGACAGTATTCATATATCTCCTCGCACACCCACCGCAATGAGAGCAGCGCGGAGATCTGCAGACACGGATGAGGGTGAGGAGGTCGAGCTTACCTTGTTGGATGATGACGAGAGATCGAGAGCTGCGCGAGGTTTGAGCGACGTGGATTCTTTAGGCCACATTGATGGTCCCAAACCAAAACGTTCTTTGTCTGTTAAAGATAGAAAGGCTATGGTCCTTTTGATTATTCTATGTCGGTCTGCTTCCTACGTCCTAATCCCAACAACTTTTGATTTGAACAACTTTTTGATATGTAGACCTAATTCAAGGAGTCCCTGTGAGTAACCTTCTTTTTCCAGCCAATGCCACAATATCAATCAAAGTCATGTCTGGTATTGTAGTTGGGTCTTGCCCTAGGTGAGCCACATGCTAATACACGTCGTCTAGCCTGCTCAACTCTTCCCCAGGATCCGTGCCATTCCTTCTTCGAGAACATCTATCTTACTCCCAACTCGGCGTGTTTGCCCTCTCAAACTATCCATATTCACTAAAGTTACTATGGTCTCCCATCGTGGATTCCATATTCATCCCTTCACTTGGTCGTCGAAAATCATGGATTATACCAATGCAGCTAATTATCGGCACTATGATGTTATACATCTCACTCAATGTGCAGAAATTATTAGACAATGTTCGTTTCCTCATTGCATTATTGGCCATTCTCCTACTGATTATATTGATAGCCAGGAGATAATTTATATGAGCTGACTTTCATATTTACCTCTTTGGTCACATTTTCTGCTACCCAAGGTACGTTACTTTTCATCATTTAAATTTCATGCTGACGTGGATATCAGATATTGCTGTTGATGGTAATGTTCATACCTTGTCAAGCACGTAAACGAAACATACATAACGCATATATTAGGTTGGGCATTGACACTACTGTCGCAGGAAAACCTGTCGTATGCGTCTACTTGTCAGACAATTGGCCTGAACTCGGGTTTCTTTGCTTCTTTTACCGTTTTTCTTGCCTTCAACAGTGAAGCTTTCGCGTAAGTCACTAGCTATCGCACATCACGCGTATTGATAGTGTTTACAGCGAGAAGTGGGGTATTCCACGTCTGACATTGAGCACATACCTCAAATTTTGGAGTGTCATCTGCTATGGTGTCACGTTTTGGCTCACCTTCTTTGAGAAAGAGGTCATTAGATATTCTATGTATGGAGTATAAGGCTCACAGAATGATTTTCTCCAGGGTAAAGAATCTATCGAAGATTCTGAAATGACCATCAGCTCCGTGTACAAGACAATCTGGAATATCTGTAAACTAAAACGTACGGTGCTTCCCTTACGCTTTATGCTCTTTGTTCACGTATCACCGTTCTCCTTGCACTTTTAGACATTCAAGCGCTCATAATCATGCATTTCTTCGCAAAAGTTGGTTTCCAGGCCAATGACGCGGTGACAGCGCTAAAGATGGTGGAGAAAGGTCTTGGACGGGAAGACCTGGCTATCGCTGTTCTGATCGACTTTCCTTTCCAAATTGTTGGCGGGTGGCTTGCTGCACAGTGGTCTTCTGGCAACACACCTCTCCGTCCCTGGGTCCTTGCATTCTGGCCGCGTTACTTTTTTGTCGTCCTCACCTTGTTCATCGTATACTATTTCCCTCAGCCTCCAATCTCTAGGAGCTTCTTTATCTTTTTAGTTATCCAAACGGTGTTACAGTCCTTTGCAACGTATGTCCTACTATTTATGGTCTTCGTGGTGTTCTTTCTTATACTCTCAAAGCACGATACAATTTGTCGGCATATCGGCGTTCCATACTAGAATATCTGACCCACTCATTGGTGGGACATACATGACGGTAAGCTTCTTTTTGTTACTAGTGTACGCTCAAAACTCATTCCAACAGTTGCTTAATACGTTTACAAATCTCGGAGGCACCTGGCCCAAATATTTTATTTTGAAGGGTGAGTAGCGTCTTTTATTCTTATCGTACGTTACTGATCTTCAGCCAGGGGTGGACTACTTTACGGTGGCGACGTGTAGGGTTGACGATGACTTGCTTGTGAAAGGTACGCTTTGATTTCAAAGAGGGCACATGTCTCTGACTGTTTGTAGCCTCAGAGTGCGTTTCCGATCACGGTAAAGCTCTTTGTGCGGACATCAACGGGGAATGCATCACTGAACGTGATGGGTATTACTGGATTTCGGGTTTCGGGCTGGCGTTTGGCATTGTGTTCCTCATTGGGTACGTGATACCCACAGCACGCAGACTTCAAGGTGAGGCAGAGCAGATTTCTAAATCTGCGGACATGGTTGCTAACCGAGTGCGGCGTCCAGCTCTTCCTGTGCAGGCGTGGAGGGTGCATAATGAATAAGGGCAAAAGTAGAATTATCTGTACGGTGTTGAATTGGGGCACAATAAAACCAAGAGTGATCTGAGTGATGTGTATTGAGTTGCACTGAGGGTGCGATTGCCACAGCCTGCCCTAAAGCGGATTGCTTGCTGTGGTTGTGATATTTTCCACGGAAATGCAAGCTTGCAGCAATACCGCTCAGATTTTTCCAAAGACGTCTTTGCCATCACCGCATATCCATCTCACTTTTTGATTTTTCTTATCAAACACCACACAAATCCCCAAAAATGACAACCACAACCATGCACTTTGGCCCCGAGTGGATGCGCACAAAACACCAGCCATCCTCCCGCTCCCAGCCTCCGCCCTCTCCGCCTCCTCCCGCCTCTTATACGCCTCAGACGAGCGCGTCGACCTACTCCGCCCTCGTCTCATCCGCGCCCCCTGAAGTCGAGAAACGCGACGAGTCCCATCCGTTCAGATATTCCAAGGAAGACATGCTGAGAATCTATAAAGAAGGAGGTGGCAGAGGCGGGCTGGGGCTCGAGGTCGAGAGGTGGGAAGGCGTCGTACGTGAGGTCGCAAACGAGCCCATAGCATTGCGTGAAATGGGCGACGGCGAAAAGAAAGTCAGCATATCCACCCATTTCCTGCTTTTTGTGCTCTTTTTCTCTCTTTTTCTGATGCATCTCCACTAGCTTTTCGCAGGACCTCTCAATTCAGACCTTCGCCGCCGTCAGTCCAGTGATGTTCTAGGTTCTTCCTCTTCGCCGTCCGATAGAGCCCGATTACCTCACAGCAATTCTGGAGGCCCAAGTCCCATGCGCGAGAGGTATACTTACATGGGAAGGAGAAGGGACAGCACAGGTGAACCCAACAAGACTGTCATTCAGCATTGGGACTAACCCATAGAGCTTCAAGATCAACCTCCCATGACTTTACCGAGAAAACTATCCCTGTCGACGACTCAGGGCCCGCTGGCGTCTCCCCGTGACGGCGGCGCCTTGCCATCTCCTCGCAATCGAATCGGTGCGTTTGCTTCTGGGTTCGATGGCGTATTGAGTGGTGGGGATTCTTGGGTGGCTAGACGACGGGCTTCGGAGGGTATGTTGAAGTCTGCTGGAGCTCCACCTGCAGCCCGGGCTGAGCACGGTGAGAGTGACAACAAGGGCCCTGAAATCAAGGAAGAGGAGGAAGAGAATCCTCCTGCGCCGCCAAAAAATGCCCGCAATGAAGCGAAGAGTGGCGCACAGCAGTCGTCCTCTCCTCCTGCCCCTCTTTCCGCTCATATTCCTAGCAACCCTATTATATCAGAGACCTATTTAGAATCTGGGGTAGCTAACATGTCTTTGAACAACAACAACAACGTCCAAGCTGGTCAGCAGATCGCATCCGGAATGACGACGAGTATATCCCCTGCCGGACCGCCTCCCGGTCTACCTGATGTGTCTACTGTCGAATGGTCTTACCTTGATCCCCAAGGTCAAGTGCAAGGTAAGTGGGAAGAGTTTCGCCTGTATCATTCAGACGTTGACTGTAACCACTGGCAAAAATAGGCCCATTCCCTGCTGACCTGATGCAGAAGTGGCATGATGAAGGCTACTTCACTCCGAACCTACTGATGAAACGCACTCACTTGGATACCGAATGGATTCCTGTCGGTGAGCTGGCCCGGCGTGCCATCGGAGGCAAGGTCTTCCTCTCGCAACCTTTCAATGCTGTCGTTCCTCCAGGCTTATCGTTAAGGACTGAATCACCATTGGCAAGCTCTCCTTCTCCTCAAGACCACAATTCGTTGAACGGACACTATCAACCCGTACCTACACGCTCCTTGCGGACTTCGACTCTAGACTCGTATATTAATGCTCCTTCCAATACTTCCGACTCTCCCCCCTCTTCCCTCGGTGCTGCAAGATTCAGCAATGGTTCCCCGGATCCTTCCTCGTTTGGCGGACGGGGTGGTAATATGAATATGTATAGTAGTGAATCTACTTTTGGTGGGCGTGGTTTCGTAGCGAATGATGGTTCTCCTTTTTCGGGAGGAGGGAGAGGAGCGGCCTTTCACGAAACAGCTATGGACTCCCGGTCTACCTATGGAAACGTTATGCCTGGTATTCCCGTTCGAGCTCCTTCTGTGGATAGCTTTGGTTATGGTACCTTCAACGGTGGCGGGACGCCATGGCCTTCTACGGCGCTGTCCAATTCGAATTCAGGCTTTGATAACATGGGGAATGGACGTATGTTAGCCGACGGTAGTAGTCCGTTTTCTCCAGGTCTAAATGGCGGAGGGCCAGGCTCGATGGTTTCGTCTGCATCGACGCATCAAGGACCTGTCTTTAACCATGTTCATAATCAACAGGAATACGGGCTCACTGACAACAGCATCCCATACCTGGGTACGCCGGACTACAATGCTATAGGAAGTCTCGGGGTCCAACACGACCAACAAAACATGGGTCTGCCGTCTGCAAGTGATAAATCCGTCGTCAATGGCTTGGGGTTCACCAACGCAACAGACGGACTAGGCGCCAGCTCCTTTGGCAACCAAACCCCATCACCGTTCTCTCCTTCCCCGATGTCATACAACCCTTCGCAGCAGCAGCAGCAGCAGCAGCAGCACCATCCGTCTTCTACTTCGCCATTTGAGCCTGCTTTGTCTCAGCCTCACGAGCCTATGAATTCGCAGGCGAGCCATGTGCAGCCTGCCCCTCCGTCGCCTTGGAATACCCCTGACCCTTCTGCGGTGCGTCGCGCTAGGCCATTCGATGCTCCCCAGTCTACTGTGATGAGTCATGCGACGGTTGCCGTCTCTGCACCTATGGCTCCGGCGCCACAGCCATCAGGATGGGGCAGAGGCAGCCAGGTCGCACAGCCAGCCCCTGAAGCGAGCGACCCATCCCCATCCCCATGGCTGATGGCCTCCCTAAGTGGCGTGGACGACGCGTGGAGAGAAGTGCCCGGTCCCAACAGTCTGACGTTCAGCAACCTCGGACAGCACAATCAGCTGCAGAAAAAGCAGCGGCATGCTCATATATCTGCCGACGACGAAGGCTCTTCTCTGCCGGCGCCTGCTGTGGTGGCGGAGGTGTCCCCTGAGCGTTTGGTTTCTGCGCAACCGCCGGTTGGTCTGTCGGCGCCCGCTGAGCCTTCACCTCCGAAAACGCGGCGCAAGTCGACGGTGCGAGAGGTGCATACGCAGGCGTCTCTTCCCAATAAGCCTGCGCCTGCACTAGCCGTACCCGCCAAAACGCCTTCTCCCACACCCGCGAACCAAGCGAAGCACGCCTGGTCGACGGAGGAAGATGTCAAGAAGGCCAAACCGTCCGGTTCGACCATGAGCTTGCGCGAGATCCAAGATGCGGAGGCTAAGAAGGTGGAGGCGCGCAAGGCGGCAGAGAAGGAGCGGGACCGTTCGGCGCGCGCGGCTGTGACGCCTGCGAGCGAGGAGGTGCAGCCGTTCACGGCGTCGTGGGGTTTGCCGACGTCGCAGGTGGGCGTGCGCGGTGTTGGTTCGCCAAAGGAGGGTGCGACGATGGCGATGATGGCGGGGACGACGCCTCCGTCGTCGGGTGCGCCTGTGTGGACGAACGCGATAAGTACGCCGTCGACTAAGAAGACGATGAAGGAAATTCAGGAAGAGGAGGAAAGATGGAAGAAGCTGGCTGTTAAGGAGACGATGGCGGCTACGGCAGCGCGGAGGGCTTATGCGGAAACTACTAATAAGGTATGTGCCAGAAATGCACTTGATGGTGTTGGTTGATATTTATGGGGCTGGGTTAGGTCGTGCCGCAAACCGGAGGTGCTTGGACGACAGTAGGCCCTGGAGGGAAATCATCCGCTATTGCCGCAGCTGCAGCAGCAGCAGCAGCCGCTCCCGTTCGCCCAGCTATGACGTCGTCGATATCTTCCGGGAGCGTTGCAGCAGCGCCTCGAGTGAACGGCACGACGCCGTCTCGGCCTGCGACGACGACGACGGTGAAGGCGGCGGCGGCACCTCCCAAGATTGAAGATTTCCCGATCTCACCTTCGCATGACTTTTTGAAGTGGATGACGGATTCTTTGAAGGGGCTCAATAACTCTGTTCATCGTAGGTTTTGTTTCTCGCTATACTCGAGCGCTGACATGTTCTAACGATCTTATGGACGGTATAGTCGAGGAAATTGCAGCGATGCTGTTATCCTTCCCCATGGACCCTGATCCGTCGACTGTGGAGATCATCTCGGACTTGATCTACGCGAACAGTACCACGCTGGATGGCCGTCGTTTCGCAGCCGAGTTTGTGAGCAAGCGGAAGATGGACGCTGCTGCGAGGAAGGGGAACGCAGCACCGGGGACGTCTGGTAAGGTGGTGTCTATCGCGGACGTGGTGAAGACGCAGCCAAAGCCGACGCAGCCTGAGTGGGGAGGGTTCAAGGTG